TCAAAATTTTTTTTTAATTTTATTTTAACTTTTAATTTGAAAATTTTTTTCTATCTCTTATAGTTTCTGAAATATATTTGTAAAATATATTCTATCGTTTTGTATAATATGATTTATCGTGTATGTGTCCTCGATTATATTCCCGAAACATACTGCAAAGCGCTCCATTTTCTTTATAAATCTCTCAATAATACTATAGAAGTATAAAAAAAGCATAACTTTTTAAAAACTTTTAATTTAAAAGGCAATCTTTTTCTCTTCTTTCATTTATTCTTCTTTTTGTATTATTTTATCAGTATTATTGAAAAAGTAGAATTTTACAATATATATTATATAAATCGTGTCGATGCATTGAACATGATGTGATGCAATTTCTAATATTTTAATTTTTTTAGCTTACATATATATGTTTTAGCTAATTGACAAATTAATAGTATTAAGTATTTCTTAATGGTTATAAAGTTGAAATAAATCTTTTATCTGTTTTTTATTTACATTATAGAATCGTAAAAAAAATAAACTTAAAAATTAGTAATTAATAATTTTTTTAAATTTATATAGCAAATGATTAGAAACTAGTAAGATATAAATGTGTTCAAGAATATAATTATTATTCTCTTACATTAGATAAGTTTAAATATAAAAAAATAAATTTATAACTATGATAGTGCAATTTAGAAGTCGATGTAATTTAGACAACTGCCCCTCTATATATAGTAATAATATTTTATTATATTAATTAATGTCAAATTTATTAAATTGGATTAAATAAAATAATAGATAAATATTATTAAATAACATTTTAACAATAATAATAATAAAAAGATTTTTATATATTATCATTATATATTATATATGCATCATTACACAGTATTTCCGGACATTTGCAAAAAATTTAAAGAGGTGATAGATCTCGATAAATAGAACAATTTTTGTGTTAAGCAACCCGTGTCCGGCGATGCCTCTTTAAGGCGCTAGGCTGCAATGAACATTTACGCAGTTTACGAAAGTTTAGTGTATACAAACCCTGTTAATACCTGAAATAAGCTCATTGACAGGATTATGAACGTATGCGATACAATTCGCAATAATCCTGGAATTTTTCAGAAGATGCGTCAATCAATGCATCGTAGATGCAATGTTTGTATTAAGGTTGCAAGTCGAACATTTATTGTAATAAAATAAACAAAATGTAATTTAAAAAACATATGATTTTCTTATTTTAATCTAATCATATAGAAAAAACAGCATTCATCGCAGCCTGGCGCTTTAAGGAGGCATCGCCAAATACGGGTTGCTTAACAAAAATTGTTCCACTTATCGAGATCACCCGTTTAAGTTTGTCACAAATGTCCGGAAACACCTTGTATATTATTGTAATAAGATATTAATTTTAATATAATAAAGAAATTATTTCCTTAATATTATCTAGAGATAAAATTGTATAATTGTATAATGTTTGTTATGCTATTTGTTAGTTATTTGTTTAAAATTTGGAGTTAAAGAGAATTCGTTACCGATTATTACCCCGACATTAATTACCCATAATTAATTAACTATTTAAAAATTTATTGATGCAGTAAATTAAGCAAACTGATAGTAAGTACAGTGAATCGAATTATTATTTTATTTTTTCTTATATACAATCGGCAAAACATTTTATTCACAATGAAACGCGAATTTAGAAATTTATGTAGAATTTCTTTGTAAATTTTATTTATCGAGAATATATTATTACTTTATATAATACAAACTAAGTGCAAATTGAAATATATTCTTGAAACTCTTGATACAAAATTTAGTAAATATGCTATATAGTTTTTTTTTAAATTTGACTGACAGCTTTTATAACAATTAACTTCATTCCAAAAGATTATTGTTTCCTTTCTCTCATTTCTATCTGAAAGGATTATGATTATCTTCTTTCTACAATCATCGTAGTATTTTTTAGTAGCTTATCTGTATAAATATTAACACAAATATATTCAATTCAAGCAGTTATTTCTAAAAAGTTATCGCTCGAAACTGCAATCATTATCAAATGAAATCACGTACACGAACTATATAATTATGTAAAAATATTTTCATATTATCATCGTTGCTAGTATAAATAACAATGGAAAAGTTGTTTGAACGAGTTTGAAACTCTCTCAAGTAATAATGTAGTTGTAAATGCCGTTTGTATAATAATGCGTAATGTATATACATACCAGTACATGTAATTCTGATATTCGCACGTATACTCGACAACTGTTGTTAGCAAATAATTAACGGTTACGCATTACATTCTGCGCATAATTACAAAATTATAAATCGGATATGATTATAACAAATTCTTTTATGGAAATCTTCGTTATCCCTTTCGTTTGATAAAACAAATGATTTTCTAAACTATTCTAATTTAGTCCAATATATATTCAAATATAATATTTATTATAGTTTCTTATTGTGCTTTTTTCGGATATTATACTATTTACTTTATGATAAAAGTATATTGAATTATTTATAACATGAATAAAACATGCTGAGAAGAGGATTTCCTTTTGTATTGTTTATAAAGCGTTCATATATATTTTATTCTCTGTTAACATTTTAACAAGAAAGAGAGATAAATATAAAAGAGCAGAGAAGTAAATAATAAAAATTTGAAATAGTGAGAAGTGATTTTGTCATCATTTTTTTCTCCAAGTTATAATAAAGTAAAATTTAATTCAAAATCCTGATATAATCTGATATAATAACTTAATCCTTAAACATTACTTCTTAGACAATATTTCGAAATATATAATCAGATACCCTCCCCCATACATATATATATATATATATATATATATATATATATAGTTCTTTATATAATAGAAAATATTGTAACAACTGTAAAAAATTAAAAAATATATAATCAAGAATAATTCGAATAGAATAAATCTGATTAATCCTCTAGGGCATATATTTTACAAAAATGAATATATTTTATTTTTATTAAATAGAGAATACGCGATATTGTGTAAATTTAATTAAAGATCGTTTAATATAACTCTCTTCAAGTTTATTGTCACTTATAAACTCTAATTAGCGTAATTTTATTGATGTATCTTCATAGAAGATGTTTACAAAAGATTATCTCTCCGCGAATTTGTGTATAAACAAAAAGAATATATTGAAAATGATTAATAAGATAAACATAATTTTACATGATTATCGAAGCTATTTAAATATTCAGCTATTAATATCTTGAAATACTAATATATCTAGATTAAAATACTCTCTCTAACATGATAACATAAAAAACCTACAATTTTACATCTGCTGAAGAGCTTATAAAAGCATGCTAGGCGCTAGTGCTAGGTGCTAGTAATAATTATATGTATAAATTAAATATAATAGATAAATATTTATTTTTAAAATTATTTTACAAATGCATTAAATTTTTTATACTAATACTTATAAATATATATACTTATAAATACTTTTAAAATGTTAATATAATTATATAATGCAACATAAACACATATTCATCATATTATATCATATTATACATTACTATTACATCATATTATATATTTTTATTTTTAAAATGTTTATAATTTAAAAAAAATTTATCTGTGCAATTAAACTTAAATAAAGAGACAATGCTTATGTACGTATATCTCCAAATTTTTTTTATAAATTTTCTATTATTAAAAATTACACAATTTAATTCTATTTATTAAAATTTATACAAATAATATTATAAATTATATATTATATATTATATATTATATATTATATATTATATATTATATATTATATATTATATATTATTATATTATAAATTTATTTCTTATGTTTAAATGCATACATACCTACATATGTACACGCGCGCGTGTGTGTGGATATGAGCGCGCGAGAACTGAGCAATTTAAATATACATATAATATAATCGTACATAATCTATTTATTTCGAAGTTTTACATTGGAACAGTTTTGTCTCAAAATGTAAAATCAGTTAATTGTTATGCGAAGGCAATTATTAGAAAAAAACTACGATATAATGTTCGAATGATAAAGAAAGTTCATTACTTTTCATTAACGTTCATTAAAAGAAATTCTTTTCATTGCTCGCCATTTGCTAAGTTTAATTATGCCAGAATATAAATTTTATAAAATTAAATATATACACAAATAATTAAATATATGCATAAAATCAAACATGAAGAATCATTTAAATTTGCATTCAGTTCTTCTCATATGTTAAGTAGATATATGACAAAAATATAAAAAAAATATATATTATAAAAAATATATATTACAAAACTAACTTTCCTCTCGAAATTCATTAAATAGCAATAATATCTTAGGTGAAATTGTAATTTCATTTTTATACATTTTTTATTATTTTATATGCTAAATATAATTTACTGCAAAAAAACATATATTTCTTTACATAAATTATATTTACATAAATTATATACATATATTCTTTACATAAATTATATTTCCTTAACTATATTTTTATATATTTCGTTAAAAGTAAATAAACAGCGAAAAAAATTTTTGTAATAAATATATGGCGCAGTTAAAATAATGAAAATATACCAATTTATCGATAAAATTGTGCCAAATAAATTAATTCATTAAAATCTGTTTTTATAAGAATTTTAATTTTTCCGTTCATTTTTTAAATTATATTTAATTTCTCTTTTTATATATTTAAATTATTAATTACTTTTTGTTCTTGTAAATATTTTGTAAATTTATTCGAATAAGTAAAAGAAAAAACAATATATAATATTTTTAGAGAGGAAAGACTTTTCGTAGACTATCGTACTTCAATCCAATGTAGTTTCTCTCTAATAGTAGAATGCGATCGTAACGATCAATCTCAGCGAGACCTTGACACGTGCCCTTTTACTTGAGTGTTCAGGATATTCCCATTTCCTCTCACGTAAAAGATCACCGATATAATCTCATGACTTTTGCCATATTTTCCTAATCCAACGAATTTGTTCATTCGAAACAAGAGCGAGCCATTGTAAATTTATGAAGAGCTATGATGAAAATGTGGTATCACAACGTCTAAACGAGACACGAACAGAAAAGACTTAGGTCAAAGTCGTAACACATATCGGTGGTGAACGAGATCAAGAGTTGTGTGTGTGCGAGTTTGTATATTGCCTGTTGGACCTTTGTGGCTGCGCTGAAACGAGAAAGGACGAAGAGAGATGGCGGGAAACGACAACCACGTTGCGCCGAAAGCTGCTGTGAGCCGAGCCGAGGACGAAGTGCTATATTCTGATACAGTAATTATTAATTTTGCACGAAAGTATAAATAAGTAACGAGAAAATTAGAAATTACAAATATTCTTTCTCGGAAAAGAATATACATATATTCTTTTTATTAATAATAACTTTTGAGCAAGTATATATATATATATATATATATATATATATATATATACTTGCTCAAATATATATACTTGCTCAAATATATATATATATATATATATATATATATATATATTACATTTATTAAAGCAGAAAGCAATGATAAGCAATAAAATAGATACTTTAGACGTGTTAAATATATGTATATAAAATATTTAATTGATAGAAAAAAACATAGCTTATTAATATTAAATTTAAAAAATTTAATATCAAAATCTCGACAATGTTTATCTACGAATTTTTTTTTGTCAATATTATTATTTTCATTGAAAAAATTCATAAACTTCAGAATTCAGAAATTCAAAATATAAATTTTTATTATAATTGGTTTTTTTTTATCTTGTACTTGCATTCAATCGAAAAATTGAATGAGGAGCCATTTTCATATTAGCGAGATTTATATTTCTTAGCTTCCTTTTTTTTGCATAGGCGGAATGCAAGAACGTAATAATGGATAATTGCGACATGAAAGACAAGAATACGACGAATGAAGAGAAAGAAGAGGAAGGATATTATAAAAACGAGATCAAAATGGACCAAGCGCAAGGATTGCAAACAACACAGATGCAGGCGCAAGTGCAGCAAGCCGATACGCAAGCTGGCAGGTGAGAACACGATCCTTTTCTCTTGCTTTTAGTTAGGTAAAGATTGAGATTTGCACGCGACAAGATACTCTTTTATTATATATATATATATATATATATATATATATATATATTTTTGTTCATGTTTTTGTTTTATAAAAACAAAAATACGTTTCGGATTGATTGAAGAAAGTATTGATTGAAGTAAGTAAGTAATTGTCTTTATTGTTGTATATCATGTTCTTATTTGGTAGTATAAATGATTATTTGATTTTAGATATGAAAATTAATATAGAGTGATAGATTGCATTTTTATAATCTGAAATAATATATTTTTGAAGATTTCTATTAAAGCTTCTCTGAGAGAAGAGGGAAGAAGGAATTATATGTGATTTTTGAAAGTAAAAAAATAAAATGTTGACCTAATTTTGAAGTATTTCTAAAATGTTATTTTAATTAATAATTAGTAATTCAAAAACAATATAATTTGTAAAATTGCAAATTGTAAAAAAATGTTTTAATTGTTTTTCTTAACATCTAATGAAAATTGTTGTTTCAATGTTCGTTTTTTGTTCACTTAATAATGAAATAATCAAGTCTAATGTTTTATAATATTTTATAATTTTTGAAATTGACTTTTTATTATTTTATTTTATTAGAATGTTTTATTAAAAACATTTTTTACATCGGAATAAAAAAATTGTCTTACTAGTAGATGTAAATATAATATTTTTTTGTCATTATGTGTCGGCATCACATGATATTATGAATTAATCCTTTTATTGCGTTGTTGGCAATAAATAACATCTATTTATAAAAGTAAGCGCATCTAAGATTTTAATTTCCGAAAATTAATATAATTATATCCTCCCATAAGCAATGTTTTATGACGAAACTTTAGGAAATTATATCAGTTAACATAAGATGTAATACAGTGTATTATATGATCGCGAATATGAGACTAATATAACTTGACATTATATGTATCAATATGATTAATTAGATAGAATCAAGTTACATGTAAATTCAGGGCATGTTGATAATACATAATTCGAACTAAGTGTGAGACAAAGCTATCAATAAGCTATCATAAACGTACTAGAAATTAATTAATTTGAAATATGTTTAATATATGTGATATGTATAATAAATATCAAAATAATTATATCAACTGACATGATTAAAACTACAAGGTTGATTGAGATTTAGAAAAATCTAAAAATTGCAAATTCATTTGTGTATTTACATATATCTATTTGCATCTTAGATATATCTATTTGCATATGTCTATATGTCTATTCACATATATCTATTTGCATATGTCTATATGTCTATTCACATATATCTATTTGCATATGTCTATATGTCTATTCACATATATCTATTTGCATATGTTACTTAATTAATTAATCCCCAATAATCTTAGATGTACAAATTTCGAGACGGGTACAATTTGACAACTGTAATAAATAATTTGATATTTATAAATTATAAAATATTAATAAGTTATATTCTTTTTGTTCGATATTTATTAAAATTAATAATTAGGAATTTGACTCAAATAAATAAATCAAAATTAAATCAAAATTGACATAAGATCCAACGTGGTAGTTGAGGCCAGGAGAAGAAACAACATTTCCTTCTTATTGATTGTTATTTATTTCAAACCTAAACACTACATAAATAACTACGTTTCGGATCGTTTTTTAGCCTTCTTCAGCGCGATTAATAATATAACAAACAATCATTATAATATAATAAACAAACTATTACATTGTAAAAAAGGAGAAAAGTTTATCTCCTTCTCGACGCGCGGGTGACGCGAAATTTCATTGCGCGGAGATATAGCAAGCCTGCTGCTACCAAAAGTTCATCAAATGTATTAAAACATGCTTCCAATTATATATTTATGTAGTGTTTAGATTTGAAATAAACAATTAATAAGAAGAAAGTATTGTTTCTTCCCCTGCGCCTTAGCTAGCCGTGCTGTGGCTCTTATGCCAATTTTGATTTAATTTTTATCGATATTTAATGTTAGAATAAGGCAAGAATAAATTATTCAAGTGTTTCTAATTCCGGATATTTTTTGAAAGCTCCTCTTTTTATCTTTAATATAATATTTATTATTCAATATCGAAATAATTTATTTTTGCTCAAATTTTTAGAAAAATATACAAAGTTTCTTCTTTCATTAAATATTATTAGATAAGCCTCCTGAAATGCAAAAAGTAACCTATTGTTTTCATTTACAGTTAATTGCAAATTAAATATTCAGACAAGTAAGAATTCCCCGAATCGTTACATTATAAACAAATATCCCTAATAAAAATGTAAAATCTTAGGTAATTAAAATGTAAAATCTTAGGTAATTAAATATTTAGTCTGTGTTTGACGACCCGGGCACGCCAAGTTTTTATAGCTTACTTCGATTTAAAGACTGTGCGATTTAAAACTTGCGTAAAACGTTTTTTTTAATTATACACATTATATAAAAATTGTTTTAAGAATTAAAAGAATCCTAATTTTCATTTAATGTTGATTTTAAGTATTTTAAAAATCACGTTTCTCTGAATAAATATAAAATGCGTTTTAATTTCTTAAGAAGAATTTATGTATAATATTTGTATAATGTAAGATGGATATTTCATAGCAAATATTATATCAAATTTACAAATTGCTCTTAAGTACTTCGCTAATAGTAATTATTGATTTCATATTTAGTTTTGATGTTTTATTTTTTAATATTTTTTAGGAAAATTATTTGTTGAGGTTTTGTTTTTTTAGAAAAATGATTTTGTGAGAAAAAATTATTGTAAATTATTTTTAAGGACTTTTTTTTATTAAACATTTTGTTGCATATAAGATAGAATATTTTTTATGTACTTGGTGGTTTCTCTTAGAGTATATATATATATATATATATATATATATATATATATTAATAATATAAGATAATTTACTTAGAGAATTTTAAATGTGTGTGTATATGTGTTATTTTGAGTGTGTGTATATGTATTATTTTGAGTTTATGTATAATATCTATGCTACAATATAGTACTCATAAAAGTCAACATTTCTTAATTTTATGTTATTGACGAAATGACATTATTTTTTATATATTTCTTTTTTTAACTTAAAACTTTTACTTAATTTTTATATATTTCTTTTTTTTACTTAAAACTTTTTACTTAAAACTTTTTTTTACTTAAAACTTTTTCTTACTTAAAAATTTATATAAAGTAGATCAATACGTAACCAAATTAAGATAACATATTTTATAAAATAAAAATAAAGTCCTAAAGATTAAATATTTATTTTCACAATATATTCGTTAAATAGATTGTATTTGTATTTATGTCTTTAGTTTCGAAGCATTTATAATGTAACTAATCTTTATAATCTTTATAATATCTTGCAGTTACTGTTAACAATAGTTACGTTAGAGAGCTTATCGATTGAGTTGAATTGATAGAATCGCCACGGAGAAATTGGCGGCGCGATGGCTGAGATAGTGTGTGTAGCAATAGTGAATGAAAGGAAGAACTGTGTAAATTTCTGTTACTTGTGAAAGTTAAAACTAATAAACACAGTTAAAAACAATTCATTTCCCAAAAGGAAAACAATATTAATTAAAGAAATAAAAACATTAAGTATTGTTGCGAATAGAAAGGAAAATAATAAATGAAAAAAGTTTATTATATAAATTAAGAATTCATAGGTATACGAGAATTTTATATAATAAATAATCATATATAAAAATACTCAAAATATTCAAAATATCTTTCCAAAAAAATTGTATTAATTTTCAACATTTATAATCTGTTTTCACAATATAACAATAAGTGAAATAGAAAATATAACATAAGGCTGATTAATTATAACAAGCTAATTAATATATGCGCAGTTGTATGAAATCCTATATAATTACCAGGCAAAATGAAATTTGTTGAACGCAGTACGAAATTGAATGAGTATATGATTTCGTGCGCAATATTGTCGACAATTACTCACGTTATATACAAAAGCTGATAATATCGATCATATGGAAAATAGTATAATATATACATATATTCATAAAACTGATTAGAATGATTTCAATGTGAATGATTGAATATCCAACATTTTTGAATTCGAAGATGTGGATATGGTTTACGGGATCAATAAAATTTAATTCAATATGGAATCCGATGAACGCCGTTATATATCATGTCGTGTCAAATAAAATTTGAGTCCTTCATGGCTTGATTAAATCTATAATCCATAGAATGAAAACTTTAGGATTTTCATTACGCTGTATTAGAGACATAATAGAATGTAATAATTAGTATGGAAAATAAGATATAACAGTAACAATGTAAAAGAAAATATGTATTGAATGTAAGAAAACAATAATTTCTGTTAAAATTCATTATTCGTAATTTGCTGAAAATAAACCAACAATTTATAAACCAACAATTTACACTCAAGTGTAATTTTATAAAATAAAATGTTGTTGGATAATTTTATTTAATATTTATATATTTCGGTATATAAACAACAATCATATAAATTGTAATATGAAAAAAGATGAGGAAGAAATAATTATCATTTCCAATCGTTAATAAGCGAACAAAAATAATTTTTGGCACAATGCAAGTTGCATAATGTTTCCAACACATTTCATCGTTTTTACCAATAATATTTATTCAATATCGCTTCATCAATTTTGATACATATTTAATTTATATTTATATCATTGTATATATTATATCTTATACGTTACAAGTTAAACGCTGCTTGCAATGGAACAGCAGCAATAAACATCGAAATATATGCAGATTTATACAATACACGTAATTCAATCCCGATATCGATAAGTATAGTGCACGTTCGCTAAAAAGAGAAAAAAATATAGGCTAATTATCGTTATGACAGACAAAGACAAATTCCCACTTTTTGCTGTTCAAGTGCGCGTCTCATTTGAAATATAAGTTAATCCACTTAAAAACTAATAATGAAGCAATTACATTACATAACTACAT